TAGACCTTTATTAAACAATGGTAATCACAGCATACAGAGGGAAATCCCACATCAGTAATTCACTTGAACACACCCTATCTGTTTCAGAGGCTATTAGATTGTTCCAGAAGAGTGGTGATCTCCTCTTCTTCCTACTCCTCTTCCTCTGACCCCTCATTCCCTCCCTTCTTTTTCAATTTTATTTGTTTTTGAGAGAGGGCATCTCTTTGTAGTTCAGCTACCCCAGACTCGTTATATAGATCAGGTTGGCCTTGAACAATGTGTCGAGTCTCCTCATCTGGTTTTGCCGTTAGGTTTCAAACTGGGGACAGATGGACCAGATGCCTATTTAAACATGTCAAAGTGAACCTGGCTGCCAGGTTCTTCCTGCCTTCCTCAGCCCCTACCTGTTACCCTGGACTCTCCAGCCCTCAGGGCTGGGCTGCTTGTCCCTGTATAAGCCAATCATTTTGCTCTCTTTGTAGCTTTGGGCTTCCTGGTTTCCCTCTCTCCACTCCCTTACCCCTCTCCCCACATGGCACAGCTCAGTCTGGACATGTCCCCTCTGGACTCTCCCAGATGTCCCTGTCCCTGCCTCTGCCTATGCTCTTCCATAGATGTATAGTAAGCCTCCTTCTCCATCATACCTAGGAGTAGTCATGTTTCCTTTCTTCTTTATCGCTTTTCTTCATTCATTACAGACAGGAGTTCCTAAGTCCAACAGGATGTCCTGAAACTCAGCTGTCCTGAAACTCACTCTGCAGATCAGGCTGGCCTCAAACTCAGAGACCCACCTGCCTCCTAAGTACTGGGATTAAAGGCGTGCGCCACCGTCACTGGCTATTTCAAACTCTTGATCCTTTTGCTTTCTGCCCCTCAGGTACTAGAATTACAGGTATTAGTTTGAAAAGAACAAGATTCTACAGAGCTCAATAAAAAATTGGTGAGTCTCTGTGAGATTATTATATCTAAAACTTCAAAATTTATATATCCACGCAGCTACTTAGACAAGTGTTGTTTCCTTATACAGGAGCAGAAAAGACCCAACCAGTCTTTGATGGGTAGTGGAGGGGCGGGGGATGCTATTACAAACAAGCTGCCGGATCATGCTGTCTAACTCAGAAAACATCAGAACACCAGTTAATTTTTTGCTATTTCCTTTAAAACAAATGAAAACAAAAAAATTCCCCAGTATTTATGTTCACAGTGGCTGCTAGCACTCTGCTAATGAACATTTACAATGACAAGGAACAAAACTGCTGTGTGTGATTGAGTACCCTAGTGTAAGGCAGTACTCACAAGTGAGTTTTTAAAGCAGACCAGCTACAGAACAGCCAGATTTGCCCCCTGTCATCTGCAGCCAAGGGAAACTGTGAAGAAATGGCTATAAAGCTACAAGCACACCGCTATGTTCCCAGGCACTCCCAACGGCAGGCTCAGGGACTGACCTACTAGACAAAGGGACCCAATTACTTCATATTTGCATGGTAAGTGGACCCAAGGTTAGACTTCCAGGACATTTTGTTTTGTTTTGTTTTTCGTTCTTCGAGACAGGGTTTCTTGTGTGTATCTCATGGCAATACACAGATTAATAGAAATGGGTTAAATTCATATGTAAAAGTTAGCCAATAAGAAGCTAGAGCTAATGGGCCAAGCAGTGATTTAATTAATACAGTTTCTATGTGGTTATTTTGGTTCTGGGCAGCCAGGATGAAGAAACGGCCTTCCTACTACAAATTACAGCTTGACTTCTCTGCTATTCTCCTGGTTGTCCTGGAGCACATTCTGTAGATCAAGCTGGCCTCAAACACACAGAGACCCACCTGCCTCTCAAGTGCTGGGATTAAAGGTGTGCACCACCACCGCCCCGCTATTTCAGGGACGGTGTTCTGTTCATGATTCAGGGTAAGCAAGACAGGTGTAAAATGGACATTAACCTTTTCTGTGCTTTCTTACTGCTGATTAGGAGTGCATATCCATGCCAAACTGAAGATTAAAGACCAAGTTACGAGTAAGAGAAACCTGGGGCTAGAGAGAGAGCTCAGGGGTTAAGAGTACCTGTTACTTTTTTAAAAAAATTATTTATTCTTTATTCTATGCACATTGGCGTTTTGCCTGCATGTATGTCTGTATGAGGGTGTCAGATCTTAGAGATACAGGGCATTGCTAGCTGCCATGTAGGTGCTGGGAATTGAACCCAGGTCCTCTGGAAGAACAGTCAGTGCTCTTAACCCCTGAGCCATCTCTCCAGTCCTCTGCTACTCTTATATTGAACCATGGTTTGGTTCCTAGCACCCACATCTGAGAGCAGGTGATAAAATGCCATTTCAGAAGGTTGGTGCCCAATACCGGCCAAGAAGGACTGACACACAGGGAGGGCCAAAGAACCTCTGAACAGACAGCTTTCAGGACTTCTTCCACTGGCTCGATCAGCATCAGAGCGTGCCCTTTCATCCAAGTGCATCTTCAACCTGTTTCAGTTATGCTCGTATAATGAGTCGTAGGGACAGGGTTTGGAAAACTTCCCATAGTCAAATGTGAGGAAGTTTCCGGTCTGGCAGCTCCTTGCTCCTTCTCCTATACCTCTCTCAATATGTCTCTCCTCAGGCCCATGCTTTAAAAGGTCCCTCATATTAAACTGGTAAACATAGCACGGGTTTTCCTCAGTTCTCCCTGCTTCCTTGCCGGTTAATTAAACCCAAGGAAGGGGCTGTGGGGACTCTAACTGTTAGAGTCTGGAGTTGTGACTGGCATCTGAAATGAGTGCGTGTGGGGGTGCGGAGAGCGAGGGGTCTCATGGCATCTGATACTGCTTCCAGGTAGTGACAAAACTGAATTAAAGTAGAGGACACCTGGCAAATATCTGATGTAGACTTGATTGTTGATTTGTGGAGAGAGTGGAGAGAAACCCTACACATTTTGTGGTCCAGCAAGCAATCTGGGTTGTGGGTTTGTAGTAGGGAGAAACATCATTATTATTACTTATTTATTATTATTATTATTTTGAGAGAAGGATCACATCATAGCCCAGAATTGCTTCAAACTGGGTTTGAGTTTCATTTTCCCACTATTTCAACATGAAGTCAGAAGTCCAAGCTGGGTGGTGGGTGGCGCATGCCTTTAATCCCAGTAGTCAGGATGCAGAGGCAGGCGGATTTTTGTGAGTTTGAGGCCAGCCTGGTCTACAAGAGGTAGTTCCAGGACAGCCTCCAAAACTCCACAGAGAAACCTTGTCTCAAAACAAAAACAAAAACAAAACCTAAACCAAAAGAAATAAAGCCCAATCTTTTCCTAGGGTTTGATAATTCAGAACAGTCAGTTGATTAAGCCTAAACCTTTTGCTAGTTACAAAATGCACTTACGGGTTTTTGAAAGTTACAATGTGGACAACTTTGAAAAGTCATTATTTTGGCTGCTACTCTACTAATAATGGCTTGAATCTTTGGGACATTTACTATGTATTAGGCAGGAAGTTTAGAGGTAGGAGCACTTAGGGGTCACCTAGCAGGTAACTACAGCCTGAGAAAGCACACTTCCCTTTATCTAGTCTCTTAGCTTTCTGTCTCCTTGCTTGTCATGGTCCAAAGACCAGCCTGTTGCATTTCTAGCATCAACATGTCCAGCTCAGGGAAAAAGGGAAATGGTGGCGTACCCTATTCTCTTAGCCCTGTTTCCATTCATCTGAGAGCAGAACATCAACCCATAATCTTTCTAGCCATCTTTCTCTGAGACTTGTCGCCATCTAGTGGTAGGGCGATCTTTAAGATTGAGCATCTAGCAAAGGGAATAAAATTGTCCAGAACTGACAGGGGCCCTGTGCATCCCTGAAGCCAAAACAAAACCCACATTCTTTGAGGAAGAGAAGGTGAAGTTGGGGATGTCATGGGTAGAGAGCTAGGAGCACCTTGTTGGATAAGTGAATGACACGGGTTGTTGGAGTCTTTGAGACCTATTCCTTGAAAAAGACTTTTGTTGTTGTTGTTGGTTTGGGAAGCAATATAGCATTTCTAGAAACTTAAAAAAACATACTTAAGGGTAGAATTCTAGTCTTCAGTAATGAATTTAACTAAAAAACACATACAAAGCCAGATCTGGGTATGGTGATATATCTATACTATGAGGCAAAGGCAGGTGTGTGGGGCCAGTGTGTGCAGAGTTATTGAGGAAACCTCTCCCCACCAAACTCTCCAAAAAATCGGGAACTTCAGGAGTTGTAAACCTTGTGCTTAGCATGAATGAGTCCCTGGGTTTAATCCTCAACACACACACATATACAAACAACTTTCAGAATTATATAACTTATGTGTGTGTGTGTGTGTGTGTGTGTGTGTGTGTGTGTGTGTGTGCGTGTTAGATAGACAGTCAGACCGGCAGATAGATAGTTTGCTTTTTGAAACATGCCTTCTCTGTGTAATCCTGGCTGTCCTGGAACTCATTCTGTAGATGATGGCCTCGATCTCAGAGATGCACCTGCTGATTTTGCTCTCAATCCTCCCGCCTTACATGAGTAATCACCGGTGACCACTGCCATGCTGGGCCTTGGGAGAAGAGCTTGTCTGCATGGGAAGACAGCAAGCAGCACCTGTGTCTCTTGGACAGCTCATGAACGTCATGAAAAATGCTGTCACAGCTAGTCTCGGCTACTCTGGGATGGAGGGTGATTATGTTACAAAGTTGTGTGTGTGTGGCATGACAAATAGTTCATTTAGCTGGTGTAGAGACAGGGTTTCTCTGTAGCTTTGGGGCCTGTCCTGGAACTAGCTCTTGTAGACCAGGCTGGCCTCGAACTCACAGAGATCTGCCTGCCTCTGCCTGCCAAGTGCTGGGATTAAAAGTGAGCGCCGCCACCGCTCTGCTTCTCTTAGCTAGTATTTTAAAACAAATTTAATGCAAAGGCTTTAAAAATAAGGGAACCACACATCTCTAGGTGCAGGTATGTTGGAGTAACTATTTGACTTTTTATCTGGGAATTATTAACTGTGTATGGAGTAAAACATTAACTTTTTTTTTTCTCTTAACAGGAAGTGAAGCAGGCTCCCAGCAAGGCAGGGACCTCGCAGACAGAACGGGGAGGAAAATGAAGCTTCCGATTTTCATAGCAGACGCGTTCACGGCCACCGCTTTCCGTGGCAACCCTGCTGCCGTCTGCCTCCTGGAAAATGTAAGTACTCTCTTCTTAAGGGGCCAGGCCTGAAATTCCAGATGTGTGTAGAACCCGTGACTTTTGGAAAAGAAGTGAGGCCACCCTGAGTGTTTGCCACTTTGGCTTGTGATCTTTGTCGTACCGCTGATGGTCATGTCTGCAGGTTATGACAGGAACGGCTGCACCTAGACCCAGTCAGAAGCACAGAGATGTTCATGTGGAGCAACTGGGGCTGATCAAAGAGGCGGCGGCAGCAGCAGCAGCAGCAGCAGCAGCAGCAGCAACAGCAGCAGCAGGAAGTAGGGGTTCCTGCCTGCAACTCTGTTGTTCCAAAGGCTAAGGCAGGAAGGTCATGAATGAGAGGCTAGCCTGGGGTATACAGAGAACAATCTGATAAACATGAAAAGTAACAAATAATCAAACAATTATTTTATAAAAGAATGATTGGAGCTCCCCTTCAGAATTAGGTTTTTGTTAAATTAGCACCAAAAACTGAGCACAAAATTACAGGAGATCTGTGGGTAGAGACAGCTGAAATGTCATTTAGTATTTCTTTCTTTTTTTTTTTAGATTTATTTATTATGTATACAACATTCCTTCCGTGTACACCACACACCAGAAGGGGGCACCAGATCTCATTATAGATGGTTGTGAGCCACCATGTGGTTGCTGGGAATTGAACTCAGGATCTCTGGAAGAGTAGTCAGTTCTCTTAACTGCTGAGCCATCTCGCCAGTCCCCATTTGGTATTTCTATGTGGACGTCCTGGGACTTTTTTATCAGAGCCAGTTGAGACAGGGTGTACTTTGTTACTCTTACTGACTTGGAACTCCCTATGTAGCCCAGGCTACCCTTAGACTCTACATGTCTCTGCCTCCTAAGAGCTTGATTTGCAGGGTTCATTATCACACCCGCCTGCCGCCTTCTCTGTACCTCAGGAATGTAGACACTCTCTTCAGTGTTCTGCAAGATGACTGACCCAGCAGGTAAGGGTGCTTGCTGCTAAGTCCGAGGACCTGAGTTCAGTCCCAAGACTCACATGGTGAAAGGAGAGAGCGGACTCTGCAAACTGTCCTTTAACTCCACACATGCGTCTTGGGGCCAGTGAGAGGCTCAGTGAGCAAAGGTGCCTGCTGCCAAGGCAATGGCCCTCTGTCCTCTTCACACACACACACACACACACACACACACACACACACACGTAACTGGAGCCAAATAAAACAGAGGAAGCAGCTGTGCAGGAGGATCATGGATTTGAGGCAAGCCTGGGCTACAGAGTAGCCTCTAGCCCAGCCTGGACTATTAATGAGAACTGTCTCAAAGAATGAAATAAACCTCACCCTTTAGAGCAGTTAGCGTAGAGGAGCTGATATCTGGGGGCTAGAGAGATGAGCCTCAGGTCGGCGATGCATTCATTAAGTGACCCTGCAGCCTGCACTTTCCTTCTACTAGCTACACAGGGTAAAGGGATTGCTAGGCTCTGCCTAGTAATACAAGAGCTTAGAAGATTAGCGAGAGAATAATTAGCAACCAGATTCCAGATTCCGAATTTGGAACCTTCCATAGGCTTAATATAGCAAGTACAACTTCCTGTAATTGCCTGTCAAGAATCTAACTGTATCTGCCCCATGTCTCCATGTCACTCGTATACGTGTGTGTACATATGCAATACATGCATATTTATAGATATAAATACATGTATATACATATAAATATATAAATAATCTACATGTAAATATGTGTAAAAATATATGTATATATATTTGAGACACAGTCTATGTAACTGTGTTTCGACCAGATAATAATTTGTGTTGTTTCATAACTTTATCTCCAGAATACTAATATCAATAAACACTGAACTAAGGGAGCTGTCCCTCTCTATTCTTGTTTGTTACTGTTGGTGTGTGTGTGTGTGTGTGTGTGTGTGTGTGTGTGTGTGTGCGCGCGCACACGCATGTTTGTAAGTTTTCGAACAAGGGTTCTCAGCAGCACACTGATGTGTTGGACCAGATGGTTCTTTTGTTGAGGGTGCAGTTATGTGCCTTGTAAGGTTTTCAACAGCATCCTTGGCCTCTGTCCGCTAGATGACAACAGTTTGCCCCCATTAAGACGACTAAAAATGTCTTTCTGGGGCCAGGCAATGTGGCACACACCTTTATCCCAACACTTCCAAGGCAGAAGCAGGAAGATCTCTGTAAGCTGGAGACCAGCCTGGTCTACAGAGCAAGTTCCAAGAGAGGCTGGGTTCAACAGTAAGACCCTGACTCAGAAAAACCAACAAAATAAGTAAAAATTAAAATTATTTATAGAAGAAAGTTTATTGTGTATTCAATGTGTTTATTTTAAATAAGATTTACTGACTGTTACGCTTTAGGAACCATACTAAGGCCAAATATAGTATTTGTATATTTACATTATTTTTCTCTCAAACATTGGAAGTTATTTCTGATGACAACAAAGACTGTTATATTTATTTATTTATTTACTTTGGTTTTTTGAGACAGGGTTTTTCTGTGGGGCCTTGACTATCTTAGAACTCTTTCTGTAGAACAGGCTGGCAGGGGTCAGGAGAGGGCCCTGGATCCCCTGCAACTGGGCTTAGAGCCGGTTGTAAGCATCTTTGGAACCTAGTGTACTTCGAGTACTTGTTGTTAAAATCTTCACCTCTCTGACAGTGAAGCACAGTGCAGAACACAGAGCTGAGCATAGACAACACCAGGATCCAGCCTCCAGCACCCCAGTCCCCAAACAAACCAACCCTACCTGCCTTGATGACCTCTCTCGCATCGCTCACTATTGATTGCTTCCTGTAGGTGTCCTGGCTTCCATCTCCATACTGAGCCCCTTGCACACAGGGCTGGCTGGCCACAGGGACTTCTCAGACTTTAATGAGCACCCAGATGCCCTGGCGTCTTTTTGAAAGGACAATCTGATTGGGCAGGTCTGGGGAGGGGCCTAGGGCTACATCAGGTTCCTTCAGCAGTGGTCCCTGCTGCTGCCCCACTCAGCACTTTCTGTTGCTCCTTAGAAACCTTGCGATAGCCCACGTTTCTCGCTTGCTGGTGCCTTTCCTTTCGGCATACTATTAATATAACAAGAGTTCGTGATGGCCAGACAGTACAGAGAGCTTTGAGTTGTTCAAAGTGAGAAGCTAATACTCTGCCTGTCTGTCATCCATTCATCTATCTGTCTGTCTGTCTATCTATCTATCTATCTATCTATCTATCTATCATCTATCTATTTTATCATCTGTCTGAATACTATCTATCAACCATGTATCTATCATCTATCTTTTTTTTGTTTGTTTGTTTTTTGTTTCTCTGTGTAACTGTAATATGAGGGCCAGCTTGTTGGGGTATCTGTCCCTGCCTGGTACCCTACAGCCGGCAAGTCCCAGAGAATCAAACACACAGAGATCTCTGTAAGTTATAAAGCTGATTGGCCCATTAGGTCAGGCTACTTATTAGCTCTTATAACTTATGTTACCCCATTATCCTTATCTACGTTAGCACATGGCTCAGTACCTTTTCCAGCGGGGCAGCTTACATCTTTCCTCTCCCGTGGTCTGGGCAGAACTGGCAGAGGGAGCTTCCTGTTTTCCCAGAATACTCCCAGTCTCTTTGCTCCACCCCTACTTCCTGTCTGGCTTTCCCGCCTATACTGCCTGCCTGGCCAATCAGCGTTTTATTAAAATATGATTGACAGAATACAGATAATTCTCCCACACCATGTAACAGTCCTGGCTGTCCTGGAACTTGCTTTGTAGATCAGGCTGGCCTCAAACTCACCGAGATCCCCATGTCTCTGTCTCCCAAGTTCAGGGTTTAAAGGTGTGTGCCACCACCACTCGGCCTCATCTGTTTTTCTGTCTGTATCATCTATCGTTCATTTATCTACTATCGATCAATAATTTGTCTGTCTATCATTTCTCTCTCCACCTATATCTGATCTCACTATGTAACCTTAACTGTCCTGGAACTCACAGAGACCCGCCTGCTGCTGCTTTCCAAGTGCTGGGATTAAAGGTGTGCGCCACTATGCCAAGCATATAACATATGCAAATAAGCTGCTATGTTAAGTCAGATCTGTGTTTCCAGGCTCTCAAAAACCTTTTTTTTTCTATTTAAGACATTGGATGATGATTCTCATCAACTCATCGCACGAGAAATGAACCTCTCTGAAACCGCATTTATTCGAAAACTGCAACCGACTGACAACTTCACACAAAGTAAATATACATTTAAATGTTTTGTTTTACGTGTGTGTGTGTGTGTGTGTGTGTGTGTGCATGTACACACACCCAAGCCTATGTGTGTGTCATAGCATTTGTGTGAGGTTGGAGAACATTTTGTAGGACTTTGTTCTCTGGTTCAATCATGTGAGTCCTGGGGATCAAACTCAAGTCTTGGGGACCTTTCCCAGCAGGGAGCAGAATTCCTGTCTACCCCATGCTCACCCCTCTATGAAGATTTGCCTGCTAGCCATGCTAATGATTTAGGGAAGATGATACCAAGACATCTTTAACCTGACTGTGTGGGTCTGATCTTGCTTTTCTTTTTCATTTGCTCTTCCGAAGGTTCCCACTTTGGACTGAGGTGGTTTACTCCAGAGAGTGAGTTCCCGCTGTGCGGTCACGCCACCCTGGCCTCTGCGGCTGTGCTGTTTCACAAAATAAGTAATGTGGACTTTTCTTGTTTATTTATTGTTGTTTGTTTGTTTTTGTAGTAGGGTCTCATTTAGCTCAGGCTGGCATTAAACTTCCTGTGTAGATGATGGTGACTTTGAAATTCTGGATTCTACTGTTTCTGCCATCCAAGAATTATAATTAATTAGTATTATAGCATGTACCACCATGGCTTAGTAATGAGAATTTCTTCCTAAAGTATATTTTATTTGCATGATGCTGAGGGAGTTGTATGATCAGAATGTATATGGTATATTGAAAGACTCCCGCGGGCGTCTTCCCTCGGGAGAGACCCCATGCCCAAAGATCAGTCGAAAACATGCAGCCGGATGCAAACAGCAAGAGGTTTATTGGGGATATGCAGGTACCTGGGGCGACCAAGTCTCTCGGAGGACTTGTGCGCCTGCAGGTTGGGGGTGAGGGGTTTTTATAGGAGAGCAAAAAGCGAGGTTTACAGAAGTGAGATGCAGGGTGGTAAATTCTTAACCTAGATAACAATGAGGGGACTACTCAGCGGTTTACTGTTCCTCTCATCCTGCCCCCCCTTTTCCTGGCTGGCGACCAGATGTCTGATTGCACAGCCCCTGACTCATGACGAGCCCCGCTTTATACGTGACTCAGGCCTCGCAATCCTCTCTTTCTTTGTTTCTATGGCTAGTCCATAAATTCTTTGTCTTGCAGCCAGATAAGGCTGTCTTTGCTCTAACCTCAGGTGTCTTTGCTCAGCATTCCGGAGGCCCTGAATTCCGGAGGCCCTTAATTAAGCCTGTTATTTGCTCAGCATTCCGGAGGTCCTGAGCTAGTTATCTGTGAACCTTTGCAAAACGGTATAACTGTGGTTAAAACGAGGGGTCCTTCAATATAAGGTTCTATCTAGAAAACAAAGGCTTACTATTCTTCACATAGTGCCCACTGATCTTAAAGTCATACTTTTCTTTCTTTTTTTTTTTTTGAGATAGGATCTCCTATAATTTCTTATACACGCTAAATAGCATTGAAGTCTGCTCTTTCTGTCTTCACTCCCAAATATTGATATTACAGGTTTTCACTACCACAAACCATTTACACAGTCAGGTTAAAGATGCCCCACTATCTTCTTCCAAAACCATTAACTTGGCTAGCAGCTAAACCTTTGTAGAGGGGCGATCACAGTCAGAACCCTTTCTGCTCACTTCACAGAAGGTTCGGAATTAATTTCTGGTTGTGTTGCGTGTTCAGAAGCTATGCCCTATTGACACACTCTTTGCAATGTCCACATTCAGTTACATGGCCTCATATGAGGTTGTGACTCACAGTTTGAGAAGGTGGACACTAGACAGGGACCTTGAGCTGAAGAAAATGAAACCCATGCTCTGAGCTAGATCAGGAGGAGACGCATCCTTAGAGGCTACAGCCCAAGCCAAGCTCCTGCTGTGTGGCATCTGTGTGTAGGTTCTGGAGGAGCCTGTGCATGCCTGGCAGGAGATGAAGTTGCGAGTTCGCCAAGGCCTCTCCACCACAGAATCCAGTGTACTCACTATGTCCCCGTTGCTGTGATAGAATACATGACAGAAGCCACTTAAGGGAGGAGAGGTTCGGCTTGGCTCACATTTGAGGGGTTGAGGGCCATCATGGTAGCTGTGGTGGCTTGGTCCATGATTTTTAAGAGCTTGCACTAGTAACACTGAGATCAGAGTGGTCAGAGAGGAAGCAATAATCTTGGGCCAGATGCTGCTCAAGTTACAGCCCTGGAAGGCTGTGGCCTTTGCAAGAATGTAGTGTTAGAATCCAACCATTGCTCAGGCCACAAGACCCCGCAGAAGTCCTCTCCCCTCACAGACAGTGGCAGGCACCTTACTGAGACACTGTGAGTCCATAAGTAACAAACTTCCTGGTGTTAGGAACTCTTCTCTAGGGGAGTAATTTTATATCAAAGTCCTGGTGGCCACACATCCACACCCCGATCCCTGCCTCCTTTCTGGGATTCAAAGAGCCTAGGCTTGTGCTGGGAGGTCACCCCCATACTCAGAAAGACATAGAGATCCCCCACTTCTGCCATGTGGGTGCTGATTTCCTCTCTTCAGAACCCTCTTGCTGTCTGTCTCCTGGGCTGGATCCTTAGCTCTGCGCAGGGCCTCTGCCATCTTATTGCCAGCCCATAGTGTTAATAATGCTTTTAATCATCTCCTTACTGCCCGACAGTATGCCTTAGGGTCCCTGTTAAAAACCCCTTTCCGAGACCTTTCACCTGTGGACCAGTTCTCAAACTCTGTCTCTCCTCAAAACAGTACCATGAGCTGAGGACCTAGTGTTGGGGGCATTTTCCTTTCGAATCATCAAATCCTGGTCATTATGATAAAATGAATTTGTTTGTATGAGTAGAGGATAAGAATGAAGACAAGCTTAGGGGGATGAAATAGGCCTGTTCATCAGGAGGCTGAGAAGAGACGATTAAAATTTCAGACTTCCTAAGCCACCAGAGGGGACTCAAGGCCAGCCCAAACAACGTAGCGAGACACCATCTCAAAAATAAAAACCAACAAGGAATGGGGAGATACCTTAGGGGGAGATATTTTCATGTTTGACCCTCTGGGTTCAGTCTACAGACACACACACACCACCACCACCACAACCACCCAGAAAACACAATCACTTTTATTTTCCTGATTCTTGCTTCCTCCTCTGTCCAGAGAACACAAACAGCACTCTAACCTTTGCCACGATGAGCGGGGAGCTCAAGGCCAGAAGAGCAGAGGACGGGATTGTCTTGGACTTTCCTCTGTACCCAGCCTTCCCCCAGGTTAGCTCTTTCTTCCTGTGTTTACAGCTCATCCTAACACACACACTATAGCCACAAACTGCCTTGAGCCGCAGCTCTCCTGTTGAGCAATGACTGCATCTCTTTTCCTCTTCCAGGACTTCCATGAGGTGGAAGACTTGATAAAGGTTTGTAGAAAGTCTCCAGCGAGAGCCCTGTGATGTGTTCGCTTGTGTAAAGCTCTGGTGTGGCATGACCCCATACAATAGCCTCTACCTGTGTACACACTGCGGTAGGAGCCGCGGTGGTTTCAGGTCAGATGTTAGTATTGTGTTCAGCATTCATTGAGCTGTAATCATTGAGCCTGGGTAGCTCAGGCTAGCCTTGAATTTGCCTCTCTTGCCTCTCAGGTACTAGGATTGCAGGTCATACAACCACAGCTGATTCATTTAACTGTGAGCAATATGACCTCCACCAAGGGGCGGGAGTAAGATGGAGGGAGTGTGTGGGGAAGACAGAGAAGACCTGAAGGAGGCGGTGAGGAGGATAACAGGCGTCCTCAGCCCCTTTGGACCAAGAAGGGTGGACTTCCAGCCCGATGAAGGCAGTGTGCTTGCTGAGGATAAAGCAAATCCTAACCGCAAGGCCAGTCCTGAGTCCTGAAATTCCTCGAGCTTCCTAGCTCCTGCCTGTCTCCCATGGCTGGTGTCAAAGGAGTGTGCCTAGCTATATTGTTTTATTGCTTTTGAGGCGGAACCTCAGGATCTCAGGCTGACTTCTCATTTGCTGACTGGCTGAGGCTGACCCTGAACTCTTGACGTCCCTGCCTCTGAACCCTGGTTTTATGAGAACATGCTTACTTAATGTGGTGCTGGGGACAGACCCAGCTTCTGGCATCTAGACAGACATCTAACAACTTAGTAAGAGTTGGTCCCTGAGGAGTTGTGATCTGCTTCACAGGCAGCCATAGGGGACACCCTGGTCCAGGATATCCGGTACTCTCCAGATACCAAAAACCTCATGGTCCGGCTCAGCGATTCTTACAACAGGTAAATGCCATGTTTAACCACTTACATGCCAGCACCCAGCTGTTTCCATCGGGCTGCGTGATCCCCAAAGCATGATTTACCTCTTCTTTTCTTTTCTATTTTATTTTCAGTCTCCCTAATGTAGCTCTGGCTGTCCTGAAAATCACTCTGTAGACCATGCTGGCCTCAAAATCAAAGAGATCCACCTGCCTTTGCCTCCAGAATGCTGCTGAGCCATCTGGGCAGAGCTCAGCCTCCTTCCCATTCTGCGAAGAGGGTGGTCTGAAAATACTTACTGCAAACCCGTTCTGTTTGTGCTCAAGGTCCTTTCTGGAGACCCTGAGGGTGAACACAGAGCCTCTGCCTCGAATGGAAAAGACAGGGAAGGTGAAAGGACTCATTCTCACTCTCAGAGGAGAGCCTGGGGAGCAGACACCCCACTATGACTTCTACTCCCGGTACTTTGCACCATGGGTTGGTGTGGCTGAAGACCCAGTAACAGGTACTCTTCCAGGATGTTCCATGTGGCCAGAGTCTTGGTCAAAAATTGAAATAAAAAAGCCCAGAAAGAGGTTGCACAATAGTGAAAGTTTTGCTCAGAGCAAGACGAGAGATCAGAGGGGACACATTGTCAAGACTGATAGTGAGGTATGCGAGCAAACTCCTACTGAGGGGTCCAACTATTGTTTGGAGTACGTACGTGTGTGTGTGTGTGTGTGTGTGTGTGTGTGTGTGTCTGTCTGTCTGTCTGTCTGTCTGCCTGTGCTCTTGAATGTTCAGTTTCCCCAGAGGCCGGCAGAGGGGGATGTGACACTTGGAGTGTTCTGTGATTGTGAGCTGATCTGTATGGGTGCTGGAAACTGAGCTCAGTCCTCTATGAGATCACCCAGTGCTCTGAACTGCTGAGCCATCTCTCCAGTCCCTGGCATCGTCTTTCATGAGGTTCAAGAGAAGAGGCATTTGGTTACTAAGAACATAATTTGGTAAAGTCTACTTGATTGGCAAGTATGGGTTATGTAGGCCCTTCCTCCCTGGGCATATTGCTTGCAATAATGCATCTAATTTTAATCATAGACACACACAATGATGCATAGGCATACGATGGTAAATAGGGGAATTCTTCTTAAAAGTTCATGTTGAGGACAGTTTGTCTTATTGCACAAGTACCCAAAACAGTCTAGGCTGGATTGACCCATTGCCTATGGCATAGAGCTCAGATTATGTTCTAGGATGTATTTGGAAAGAAACAGGGGCACTCTGGGGAGTTTACTGAGGGTATTCCCATTGTTTATAGCAGGTATACAGTTGCAGCTCTGAGGGGCAAGAGGGTTCTAATCTGTTAACAGCTTGCAAGGTACATTGTTCCAGAGAGGTGTGTGCATAGCCCAGGTCAAGTGGAGTCCTAGGTTGCTAAGTTATTCCCTATGCTTCCTGGCTTCACTGAGACAAGGGAGGGCTACATAGTACCCTTCAGGTGACCTTCACTGACAATGCAGCTAGACCCCTGAGCCAACATTTACAGACCTTGTACCAGCCTGAAGCAGAGGAAAGACATCAAAGATGGGCTGAAATGTGGTGTCTCCTCCTTTCATTCTCCCTGAGAACAGAGATCTATGTCACCAAGGGTGGTGGTGGCTGATACAGGGCATTGCTAGGGGAAGCAGGTTTGGGGTTGAGAGGGGCTGGGCGGAGGCTCCAGATGCCAGGAGTCAGGATGCTCTGGACCCTTCAGTTAGACCTCGGTGAGGAACAAAGCATACCAACTTGAAGCTCAGCATGTAAGCAGAGCTGAAGACTCAGGAAAATGCCCTTAGCATATATGTGGTCCAGTGAGCCTCCCCTCCAGGACAGAGGGGCCCGGGTGGCATGCACAAACAATCAGACTGGAACACACACCCAGTGTATTTTGTGTGTGTAGAGCTTTCTAGAATGGGAAGGTCCTAGGACCAGGAGAAAGGAGCTGCTGGGGTGGAGTGAACTGGGAGTCTTGGGACAAGGAAACTGGTATGAATGTTTACTCAGGGACATCCCATAATTCTTAATACACTTTTCTGGGTTTTTTCCCTCACTACACTTAGTCCCTCAAGATTTTTAGTTACTTTGACTTTTTCTTTTCTTCCTGAGAAAGGGTATCTAGGCCTAGCTTGGCCTCTCTAGGTAGCTGAGGATGACCTGGAACTTATGACCCTTCTGTCTCTCCCTGCAAAAGCTGAGATTACAGGTGTCAGTCACAGAACCCTGCAGGACTTTATTTACATTTTGCTTCTTCATTTTCATATGTAATTTCTGATCAGATTCTAGATGAAATCGCATGGGGAAAAACGGTGGCACTTGGGAGGTTAGGGCAGGGAGAAAAGAAGTTTAAGACTAACCTCAGCTGTTTTGGATAGCCTGGGCTACATGAGACTGCCTTAAAAAAAGAAAGCAAATAGAGAATGACCCTGCAGTTGAATGCAGCTTCAGAGAGAGTGGAGATATTTGGCAGGCGCCATGGAAGCATTTAGTCGTACATCCTCTCTCCCTTCCCTCACTCCACACTCTGCTGGGGGCCCCTTGACATGGGACCAGGTGACCTAAGGTTCAGTCAAACTGAACGAATGGCTGTGACTGTTGATACATTTAGAGAAATGTCGCTCCTGCGTTCATATCTGTCACTTCTTTCCAGGGTCTGCCCACACTATTCTTGGCCCCTACTGGTCTGAGGAGCTGGGAAAGAAAGAAATGCGAGGTAGGCTTAGCTCTCCCTACCCCTCTTCCCCTTCTCTTTGGGTGCTGGGGGGTTGAGCTCGGGTCCTTCAGGTGCTCGACAAGTGGGATACCATGGAGTTATAGCTCCAGCTCTTGGCTTTTTGAGACAGAGTCCTGCTGTGGAACTTGGGGGGCCAGGTGTGTCCCTGCACCTGAAGGCCTGGTCCCCCAGGGTCACGGGACAGGAACTCGGCTGAAAGAAGCTACGTTAGCTCATCATCAGAGCTGTGATCCACAAGGATGAGCTTCTTCTGGAGGGAGGGCTCGGGCTCCGTGACCTTGATGTGGAGAACAGGTGTTTATCCTCTGTCCTGGCGAGTCTGACAACTCGCTAAGCATGGCGCTCCTGAGGACTGAGACTGCACCTCTCTTGGGCACCCGGCCTTGCAGTTGCTTTAACTTACCACAAGGAAACAGACTCCATTTGACTTTTCTGAGCTGAAAAGGAGCGGGGATCCTTCTCAGGTGGGGAAGGACCCCCTCTCTACAGCTTCTGAAACTACCCTTCCCCACCCCCATCTCTTCGCATACCCTTGAGCGTTCCTAGAGGAAGTTTTAGGTGGGACACAGCTGGGGCAATGCAGGAAGAAGCAGACAAGGCCCAGGAAGAGAAGAGCCGGGCACTGTGTGCACATCAGATGTGTGTGGACCTCTGGGTCTGCAGGAGGATGGGGTGGAGGTGGGAGGCACTATGAACACCTGAGGAATTTATTCTGGAAACTGGCTTGGGAGTTCCGGGTTTGTAACAATAAATCCTTCCCTGTGTTAATCACAGGGGATGCTCTTAACTGGCCCCACTCTGTGTTCTCTTTAAGCCTTTCAGTGTTCCCGCCGAGGAGGAGAACTGGACATTTCCCTGCGACCTGATGGGCGAGTTGACCTGAAGGGTGGCGCTGCTGTTGTCTTAGAGGGCACGCTGACCGTCTAGAGACGCGTCTGCACTTATGCTGACGGTCTAGAGACGCTTATGCACTTATGCTGATGGTCTAGAGATGCGTATGCGCTTATGCTGGGCTGTGGCCACCGCTAAACACGGTGTTTTCTCTATACTACAAAACAAACCAAAAACTAAACCAACAACAAATGCCCAGAGCTTGCTTCAGCAAGCCCACTAACCAGTGCCCTCAACTCTCTCATGAAGAAGAGAAAGGAAAGACAGTTGATGGAGGTGAGACAGCATCTCCAGACTCCTTAACTGGTGAAGGGCTCTGGCCTCTGCTTCTGTGCATCTTCAGGAATCCACAGCAGGCAGCGATGCTGCCATTTCTTTTGATTATGACTGACAATCAAAGTGAGAGAGCCATTGATAAGAATGGGAATGAAATTCAGATTTGGGCATGGGTACCCGATAGAAGATTTTATATATATATATATATATATATATATATATATATATATATATATATATATACTTTCAATTTAAAGACAGAGTCCTACTGTACACTGTACAGCAGCCCTGGTCGGGAAGAAGCTCTCTATGTAGACCAGGCTACCCTCCAGTCAACAGATATCTACCTGCCTCTGCCTCTCGAGTGCTAGATTGATGATATGTTCCCTCATGCCCAGACTCATACCCTTCTAATACACACATTAACTCTGTGGAAATGCAGATCGAACACTAAGGAGAACAGCCAGTGAACTGTTAAGGAGGCCATACTACGGCTGTAGGGAATATGGAGTCACGTGACTGTGAAGACAGCAAAGGGAAACTGGGTGGGAAGGTCCAGAATAATCTTAGTGTCTCCGTACCAATCAGGACAAAACCCAGGAACTTGAAACAATGAGTGTCTGATTAGATTACGTGATGACACAAATAAACACTGAGAATGGTGTGATCTCTGGCCATTTGCCCCTCTGTGTCTTGGTGTAGGAGAATTATCTGTATTCTGTCAATCATATTTTAATAAAACGCTGATTGGCCAGGCAGGCAGTATAGGTGGGAAAACCAGACAGGAAGTAGAGGTGATGCAATGAGAACAGGAGAATTCTGGGAAGCAGAGAGGTTCCTCTGCCATTCCTGTGCAGACCACTGAAGAGGCAGCATGTAACCTGCCCAGCTGAGAAAGGTACGGAGCCATGTGCTAACATAGATAAGGATAATGGGGTAACATAAGTTATAAGAGTTAACAAGAAGCCTGACCTAATGGGCCAATCAGTTTATAACCTTATGGAGTCCTGTGTGTGATTTCTCTTTGGAATTTGCCGGCTGTTGGGGTACCGGGCGGGACGGAAACCCCAATAAGCTGGCCCTCATGCTACAGTGTCTTGAGAATGGTAACCCCAAAGTCTTCTCCTGGGGCTGGAGAGGGCTCAGAGGTTAAGAGCACTGGCTGGTCTTCTAGAGGTCCTGAGTTCAATTCCCAGCAACCACATGGTGACTGACAACCATCTGTAATGAGATCTGGTGCCCTCTTCTGGCCTGCAGGCGTACATGCCAGAACACTGTGTACATAACAAACAAATCTTTAAAAAAAAAACCTTTTCTTGTTTAATAAAGTGTGACTTAACATAACTATGAATTTGGTGAAATCTGTGGTAATGACTCCCCGTGGGTGACTTTGGAGTAGGATTTCCTCCTCAGGTTGACAAGATAATCTTAAACCTGGTGTTTAAGTACTTGGGAGGGAGAGGCACGAGGATCTGTAGTTCAAGGCGAACTTCAGCAGGGCCAATTATCAGCTAACCTGGGCCACCTGAAACCCTGTCTCAACAAAGAGTGTTTTGTAAGGCTGAATTCGCTACGTTAATTCTCAACCACTTCAAAAGCTGCAAGCTAGCGTGGTTTGGTGGAGCACATCTACAATTCCAGCACTTGTGCTGAGGCAGGAGGATTGTGACTTGAAGGACAGCCTGGGATGCATAGTCAGATGAACTCACAGAACAGAGTAGAGCAGAGACAAATGCTCACACACCCATCCGCAGGCCAATCCGGGTTTTTAAGCATCCCACCCCAAAGCCTAGTTTACCATTTACCAGTGTTCTAAGTGATGCTGGGGCTTGAAGCAGAGTCTTCTGCATGCCAGGCAAACTCTACAAACTGTGGGGTCGCACCCCCAGTTCTAGCATGTCAGTCCTCAGATCTTCCTGGGGGCCTAAAACTCAGAGAGTCAGTCTCTCCTCCCACCTTTGTGGGGCTGAACCCTGGTCCAAGCTTCTATTGCAAGGGCGTTCAGTTGTTGAGACGTCTCACTGTCCCCTGAATTAACTTTTATAACTCTGTACAGCAAAGCCAGTGACTCCGCTGTAGCCTCAGCTAATGGAGAAGCTGAGGCAGAGGGATCACTTAAGCCCTTCTCATCTCTTAAAAACATTAGGGCTTCAGGGTCGGGGAAGGGACATCCCTGTGTTATTAAAAAAAAATGTATGCTTAGCATACCTTAGTGCCTGCACTTCATACACATACACACACACACAACAGAGACATGGATACACACACACATGCACACACACACCAACATGTGATTTCAGAAACTATGTAACAGACACTTCATAAACATGCAGATATAGCTCCTGGTTACTGGTGTTCATGAATTTTTTTCTCTGGGGACCATTTAGCGAGAGCTGATGAATGGAACCAGTGAGGCTGAAGATCAGCAAACACTCAAACATAATTTTTGTATTATCTTGTTTTTGTTGAGGGGGAGATATCCCATTCAGGGCAGTCCCCTGTTACAGTCTCCCGACTCCTGGCATCATGGGCCTGTGCCACTGAGTCCGGCTCACAGACTTCCATATTAAATCTGTGAAAATCTGCTGCCAGGTCTGGAGACACAAGCCTGTAATCCCAGCTATTCGGGAAGCTGAGGCAGGAGGATTGCAAGTGGAAGGCCTGCCTAGGCTGCACGGACAGTTCAAGGCCAACATGAACAACATGAGATCCTGGCTCCACATAACAGGTAACCAAACTGAGTGGCAGAGCAGTTAGCAGTCGTGAGTGAGACCTGGGCCCCATCCCAGCCATGTAGAAGGGAACCACGTCCATTATAGAAGCTTTGTTCCTTTCTATGCTCTAATGTGCAGGTAGATAGGTGATGAGGAATTCCCCTCTGTATGCTGTGAGTAACACTGGTTAATAAAGAAACTGTCTTGGGCCTGCACAGGGAATAGAGGTAGGCAGGGGGAAACTAAGTTGAATGCTGGGAGAAAGGAGGCGGAGTCAGGAGAAACCTTGTAGTCCCTCCTCCCCCGCCGTGTAAGCCACAGCCATGTGATGATACACAGATGAATGGAGATGGGTTAAATTAAGATGTAAAAGTTAGTCAATAAGAAACTAGAGCTAGTGGGCCACGTAGTGATTTAATTAATACAGTTTCTGTGTGATTATTTTGGGACTGAGCAGCCCCCCAGGCTGCCTCCCCACCACAGATGTGTGCTGAGCATCTTACCACTCTAATCATCCAGCAGAGATTTGCTGTGTGCCAGAAGCTCTTTTAGCAGCTAAATAAATTCAAAAGGAGAAAGGGGAAGTTAGGTGTGGTGGCACAGGACCTTATTCCCAGAACTAGGTAAGCAGAGGCAAGTAGATCTCCGAATTCAAAGCCAGTCTTAAGATTCAGGCCATAAGGGCTGGAGAGATGGCTCAGAGGTTAAGAGCACTGATTGTTCTTCCAGAGGTCCTGAGTTCAATTCCCAGCAACCACATGGTGGCTCACTGCCATCTATAAATGAGATCTGGTGCCCTCTTCTGGCCTGCAGGCACACATGCAGACAGAACACTGTAAACAAAATAAATAAATAAATCTTAAAAAAAAAAAGATCCAGGCCATAAAACATGCTTAGTTAGACCCTGCTTAAAAAAGAAGAGGGTGACTTGATATTGTTTCCTGCTGATGGAAACCCAATGTTTGCCAGTCTGTAATAGCGCACACCTTTAATCCCAGCATTCGGAGGCAGAGGCAGGTGGATATCTGAGCACAAGACAAGCATGATCTATAGAGTTCCAGGACAGCCAGGACTACACAGGGAAACCCAGTCTCTAAAAATAAGAATGAAACAAAGCAACCACCCACAAACAAACAAACAAACAAACAACCCAATGTTTACATTTTACCTATCAGACAACTGGGCAGTAAACTTTCAAATACTATGTGGGTTGGTGAATTCTTTTATTGTTTTGAGATAGGGTCTCACATATCCCAGGTTGACCTGGAACTCCCTGTGTAGCTGAAGATGGCTCTGAACCTTTCTCTTCCTCCTGTCTGTTTCCATGTGAGAAGATTACAGATGTGTGCCACCATGTCCTGTTTAAGGCCACTTGGTTTCGATCCAGGGCTTTGCGCAGGCTAAGCCAACACTAGCAACTGAGCTGGATCTGCAGACTTTTCACTTTCAGAGCTGGGACAGAAGCCTCAGCTCTATGCACACGAAACAAGTGCTCACTTGCCCAGCCCTGAGAGACTTTGCAACGGGGATTCAGCGCAAAGACTGAAAAAGTTAGCAGATTGCTGTCTTCAAGGAGAATTATGTTGGAATAATTGGCTTTGTATCTGGGAACCATTAACTGTGTGCTTGTGTGCACCAGTGAAACATTAACTTTTCGGCTTTTTTTTTCCCCTTTTCTTTTTTTTTTTTTTTCTTAACAACAGGAAGCGAAGCAGGCTTCCAGCAAGGCAGGGACCTCACAGACAGAACGGGGAGGAAAATGAAGCTCCCGATTTTCATAGCAGATGCTTTCACGGCAACCGCTTTCCGTGGCAACCCTGCTGCCGTCTGCCTCCTGGAAAATGTAAGTACTCGCTTCTTAAGGGGCCAGGTCTGAAATTCCAGATGTGTTTAGAGCCCGTGACTTCTGGGAAAGAAGTGAGGCTACCCTGAGTGTTTGCCACTTCGGCTTGTGATCTTTGTCGTACCGCTGATGGTCATGTCTGCAGGTTATGACAGGAACGGCTGCACCTAGACCCAGTCAGAAGCACAGATTTCCACGTAGAGCAACTGGCGCCCATTAAAGAGGCAGCAGCAGCAGCCGCAGGAAGTGGGACTCATGCCTGTAATGCTGACGTTCCTAAGGATCAGGCGGGAGGGTCAGCAGTGTGAGGTTAGCCTGCATTATAGAGGAGGTCCTAGACCAACTGGGGCGACGTGAAGAAACCGAGCCATTTACAAAACCAAAATAAATAGGTATGCAAAACAGTATAAAAAGTAGCAGAAAGGCTTCTGGATAGCCATCAAAGTTTAGTTTTATACTAAATACGACTGAAAGTACATTTGTATCTGAGTCTAGGGACTCTCTCATGGAGGTTGGGAGAGATCTTTTGAGGCAAGATCTTGATTTCCAACCCTAGCTGACCTTAAATTCCCTATGTAGCTCAAGCTATCCCCAAACTCCAGCTGTCTTAGCCTCCTCCAGGCTGAGCAGTTCCAGGTTTGTGCCCGTTTCCTAGGCCACACTTACTGTAACTCCAGGGGATGCGTTGCTCTTCTGACCCCAGGAGTTCTGCACTCTGTGTACAAACACAGAGTTTGTCTGTGTACAAACCCAGACAGACAGACAGGCAGATTCATTCTCTCTCTCTCTCTCTCTCTCTCTCTCTCTCCCTCTCTCTCTCTCTCTCTCTCTCTCGACCTCCAAAGGCTCTACACTCAAGTGTACTGGCAGACAGACAGACACAAACATACACATACACGTATACTCTCTCAAAATAATCATCAAAATATTTTTTAAAATCTCTTTAGGATCAAGAAAATAAGGTACTTGTAAGAAATTCAGTAAAACCAGAAGGCATTGATCTCCAGTACCTAGAAAAGTTAGGTTGTCAAAAATCTTCATCGTATAAATAGCTCTTTTGCATGTGAGTGGTGGCTCAGCAGGTATAGTTCCTTGGTGCCAAGCCCAAAGACCAGAGTTCAATCCCTGAGAGTCCCAGTGTGGACCTCTGACCTCACAAGTGTGCTGTGACAGACACGTGCCTCCCCAAATAAATGAACTAGTTGAATTTATATTAGAAATTTATAGGCTTTTGTCAGGCATTGGGGGCACATGCCTTTAATCTCAGCACTTGGAAGGCAGAGGTAGGAGGATCTCTGTGAGTTCGAGGCCAGCCTAGTCTACAAGGGTTAGTTCCAGGACAGCTAGAATTGTAACACAGAGAAACCCTGTCTGGAAACAAACAATTAAACAGACAAAAAGAAGAACTATATCAGCTTTTGATTAGGATAATCACTAATGGGCTAGTTAAATAGTCCTTGGCCTTTTGGGTGAATGTTATATTGTTTCCTGGGCAGTAGGAAGCTGAGATCTTCCTCTGATGATTTATGTTGCTGGTCAACTTGACAAGCTCTGGAGTGGCCTTGGAGACACAGCTCTTGACGCCTGTGAAGGAGGCCTCAGATAAATTTACTAACTGTGGGCAGCACCGTGGGCAGTGGATGAAGTCCAGAGTGTGTATTGTTCGTTATGAGCATGGCCATGTCAAGGATCCCAGTGTTCAGAACCCTGGGAACTGTCGAAGAAGTCCCTGGGTGAGGCTCAGGGAAATGGCAAGGCAGTCCCCTGGTCTGTGTGTGAAAGCAGACAGAATGTCTAGAAGCATGGGGCTGCAACTTCCTCCTCCTGGGTTTGGTCACAGCCTAAGACTGTTCCCTACATAGACAGGGCAGGGATATCAGCTAAGCCCTCCTCCCAGTGCTGGACATTAACAGACATGCAGAGCTCCTTAGTGGGGTGGTAGCTGCCCGACTGGAGCGAGAACAGCCCACCACGTCTCAGCGTCTCTGTCTGTATGTCTGTTACTTCTTCTTTCCCTCGCCTCCCAGTCAGGTTTCTGGCCCTGGAAAGCCAGTACAGTTTCACGACGAGAATCCTTGGCTGCACAAGAGAAGGCAGGGGTGGGTGAAGGTGGGAGCCACGCCTGCCTGGTGAGCAGAGTCAGTTCAGTAGGGCTCAATTCCCAGCACCTACACTGAAAGCACCTGTAATCCCAGCATTCCTACCGTGATAGGGGAGCGAGAGACCAGAGACCCGTCTGGAAGCTTGTAGGCCAGCAACCCAGAGGTCGGGGTACAGCCACAGAAGCAGGGGTGCCCCGCCTTGTCTTTTGGCCTTCGACAGAAAATTGCCCTCTGACCTCCATAGCCATGCCTGCTCTCGCCCCTCCCACTTCTCTCTCGCTAAATACATTTAATAATTAAAAATTTAGTATGTGTTAATCAAATTTAGAAATTTTTAAATTATTGCCCATGCTTCCTGACTATGGCTGCTCCACACTTCTGCTGCAATGAGGAGAGTCCCCCTTCTCCAAGTAAGGACTATCTATTTGGCAGCAGTGGGGCTGTGATGGGTGAGGATGACAGGCCCTCTCTGTGTAGCCGTGGAATGCCTCTGAGATTTGAAGGATTTAAATCTTCAATAATAAGAATTTGCATGGCTCTCTAAATTCTCTTCCTCCCCAGAACATGAGATCAGTAAAATTTTCACTTAGGACTACAGGCATGTGCCACCAGCCTCAGCTTTATTTATTTAATTGCTTGAAAGGTCAGCAACGTGGCTCAGCCAGTGAAGGGGCTCGCCGCACAATCCTGACAACCTGAGTTCAATCCCTGGAGCCCAGTTAAAGATGGCAGGCTAGAGCCGATTCTGAAAGGTTGTCTTCTGACCTCCACATGCACACTGTGGCATGCATGCCCCAGAATAGTAAAGTAACTGGTTGGCATAGAAGAAAAGGCTTTTCTCTCAGAAACTGGCAGGGATCTCATTTTAAGTACTGTCGTGTGTTGGCACTGGAGAAGCTTTTTGTATGTACTAGTGGGTTTAACTTTATAAAAATAAAAAAATACTGGGGGCTGGTGAGATTGTTCCTTGGGCAGAAGCGCTTGTGTCGAGTCTGCTGACTGGAGTTCGAGCCTCAGGACCCACATATTGGGAGAAAAAAAATGTCTACATGCTTTTCTCTGGCCTCCACCAGGGAACCATGGTATTCAAAAGCATACATACAAGACCACTCCCACATTGTTGTGTGTGTGTGGGTTCTCTCCTGCCCAGTTCCCGCAATCTTTAAGTCCCAAAGAAATCACACAGAGGTCTACATTAGCTATAAACTGATTGGCCCATTAGCTCAGGCTTCTTATTAACTCTTATAACTTATATTAGCCCATTATTCTTGTCTATGCTAGCCACGTGGCTCGGTACCTTATTCAGCGAGGCAGTCACATCTTACTTCTTCTGTGTCTGGGTCATGACTGAAGAAATGGGACTTGCTTCTTCCCAGAATTCTCCTGTTCTCATTGACCCGCCTCTCTACTTCCTGTCTGGTTGTCCTGCCTATACTTCCTGCCTGGCTACTGGCTAATCAGCATTTATTTAAAATATAATTGACAGAATACAGACAATTGCCCCACACCACTTCCCCCGCTTAAAAAAAAACCCAAACAAATAAGAACTCAACAGAAAAACCTTAGACAACACCACATTTGTAATTTCTTTTTAAAAATGTAAATTTAGAGGAAAAACAGTAGGCGGTGACACATACCTAGAATCCCTGTATTTAGGAGACCAAGGAAGAGGATTGTGAGTTTATGTGTATGGAGATAACCTGGGCTACATAGCAAGTCCCAGGTACATATGGAGATAACCTGGGCTACATAGCGAGTCGTAGGACAGCTTGGGCCCTATAATGAGACCCTGTCTCAAGAAAAGCATAAAGCAAACCAGGCCTGGATGCGCAGGAGCCCCAACCCTAGCTACCCAAGAGGCTGAGGTAGACGAATCACAGGTTGAAGACCCCCCCTGGGCGTCTTAGAACTTGTCTACAAAGAAAAAGTAATTAACCAGTCAATTAATTAAAAATGGCTGTGACCATAGCACAGTGATAGAGTTGCTTGCCCAGCATGCCTGAAGCCCTGGGGTTGATGCTCTGCACGTGGGAAAAGGGAATAGAAAAGAACACAAGAGCTTTTCCTCGACAACAAACTGACATAGGGGAACCTGGCCCCACGCTCTGGATGTCCACTCCTGTAGCCTAGCACATTGTGATTCTCTAGAGGAGCTGGACGCCCGGATATCTGAAAAACTGCATAAACATGCCTCGAAATCCTTGGCATGTAACTAGCATTTCATAAGTCAAGGGTAAACCGCCCTGTTAACTAATGGTAGGTGGCCGAGCAAGGAAGTCTGAATGCTTCCAGAGTCTCCATAACCTGTTGTTCCTAATTAAGGCACTGGCTGAAGATGCCCATCAACAGATCGCGAGGGAAATGAACCTCTCTGAAACGGCTTTCGTCAGGAAACTGCAACCAAGCGACAACTTCACACAAAGTAAATGCACACTTTTCATAGGTTCCTGGGCAGCCGTGGAAGCCAAGTCTTGGGAGGGAGGTTAAGGAGATGTTTATATGTTAACTGCCGGCAGATAGCGTGTGTGGGTTTTAGTTCATCTAGGAGGAGGTGTGTTGAAGTTCAGTCTCAGTTTATAGTTTAAGGTTTCCTAAGGCCATATATTGGAAAAATGGGTCCCCGGGGTAGCATATTGGTAGGTGGGTCCTGATGGGAGATAGTGGAGTAATGGCATCTCTGTGAGGGTCGGTTGGTATTTCAGGAGTGGGCTTCTGGACACGGGTCTTTGGCGCCCTCGTGTGTCTGTGCCTTGCCCTGAGCTGATGCAGTGACAGGTGGCAGCCCCTAGACCTTCAACCTCCAAGGCATGGGGCTACTACAGATATTTCCTCAAAGAGTCACCCAGCACGTTGAGTTCTGCTATAGCACCCTGAATGGACTAAGAGGGTGTTGGGGAACCTACTGTCTCAGCTCCAGACCTAGCCGCGGGGAGCCTGTGGATGTCTGTCCAGTCTGTGTTTGTCCTTTGACAACAGTTTGCTGTTAACCACACCAGTGAGAGACTTAGAAGATGCCGAAAGCTTAAGACTTGCCTCTGTGGGTCAACTTGTGTCTCTTTGGCTCTCCCTCCTTTGAAGGTTCCTGCTTTGGACTGAGGTGGTTTACACCAATGAGTGAGGTTCCTCTGTGCGGTCACGCCACCCTGGCCTCTGCGGCTGTGCTGTTTCACAAGATAAGTAATGTGGATTTTATTTTATGTATGCACATATATATATATTGGTTATGGTTTCGTTTTTTGTTTTTTTTTTTTTTTGTTGTTGTTGTTGTTTTCCCCTGAGCTCAGGTAGTCCTGACTGTTTTGGAACTCACTCTGTAGACCAGGCTGGTCTCAGACAGAGATCCTCTTGCCTCTACCTCCCAGTGCTGGGATTAAAGGTGTGTGTCCCCACAGCTGGCTCCCATATGTGTTTCTTTTCTGAGATAGTTATTTATGTATCCCAGGCTTGCCCTGGGTTCTCTATGTAACTATGGAGGATCCTGTGCTTTTGATCTTCCTGCCTCCATATTCCAGTGCTAGGATCCCACGTATGCAACACCAGCACGCTAGAGGTAGGAACAGGTGGCTCTTTGTGAGTTCAAAATCAGCCTGGCATGCATAGGGAGTTCCAGGCTAGTGGGGGTTCCATAGTTAAGGTCTTGACTTGAAAAATAAATTAAAATAGAAATTTTTTAAAAAAGCATTTAAAGTAGTCTGGTACTATAGCTCGGTGTTAGGTCACTTGCCCTGAATCTGTGTGATCCTAGACTCAGTCCCTAGCACTGGGGTTAGGGAAGTCCCCTGTACCGAGCTTATTTTCCTGATTCTTGATTCCTCCTCTGTCCAGAGAACACAAACAGCACTCTAACCTTTGTCACTATGAGCGGGGAGCTCAAGGCCAGAAGAGCAGAGGACGGGATTGTCTTGGACTTTCCTCTGTACCCAGCCTTCCCCCAGGTTAGCTCTTTCTTCCTATGTTTACATCTCATCTTAACACACACACTATAGCCACAAACTGCCTTGAGCCGTAGCTCTCCTGTTGAGCAATGACTGCATCTCTTTTCCTCTTCTAGGACTTCCATGAGGTGGAAGACTTGATAAAGGTTGGTGGAAAGTCCCCAGTGGGAGCCCTTTGACGTGGTCGTTTGCGTTTGAAAGCTCTGGTGTGATTTCGCTTTACCGCTCTAATTGGTGGTATGAGCCTGGGAGAGCAGGGCCGAAAAATGAGGTGGACTGAAGTCTCATGCAATAACCAACTTTCGTTTTGGTTTGGTTTTTGAGATAGGGATAGGGTTCCTCTGTGTAACTTTGGAGCCCCGTCCTGGAACTCACTCTGTAGACAAGGTTGGTTTTAAACTCAGAGATCCTCCAGTCTGCCTCCCTAGTGCTGGGATTAAAGGCACGTACCACCACCATCTGGCAATTCTGTGTTTTGAAGAAACTGAGGTCACAAGACTCTTGTCTTGTTTTCTTGGCGTATTCACATGAACACTCAGAATTCCCCTCATGTGACTCCATTCTTGGGCTGTGTTCCAACATAATGGGATTCCAAATTGGGCCGCCTACCAGTTGGAGGCATTGCAGTGGAAGCCTAGGTGATTTCAGATTAGAATGTTAGTATTGTGTCTGTTTGGTAAGATTGATCACTTCCATTGAATTGTAATCACTGTGTAGCCCAGGCTAACCTTGAACTTGCAATTCTCTTGCCTATGAAATGCTGGCTGGGATTCCAGGTTCATGCCATCACACCCAACTCATTTAACTATGAGCAATAAGACCTCCATAGAGGGGCAGGAGTAAGACAGAGTGTTTGGGGAGAGAAGGAGAGAGAGCTGAAGGAGGCAGTGAAGAAGGTATCAGGCATCCTCAGCCCCCTCAAACAATGAAAGGTTGGAGTTCTGTTTATTCCAGCAGGAAGGAGAAATCAGCCTGGGGTGACTGTGCTCATCCAAGTTCAAGTAGGAGAGATGGGAATTTTCTTCTTTTAAAAATTCCTTTACAAGTTCATACCTCTGTACAGCAAATTTAGTCTTATTGACTCCCCTAACCCTCTTTCCTCTCCCTCGCCCACTGAAACACTTCTTCCCAACCATTTCCCTACCTTTCACACCTGTGTGTGTGTCTGTCTGTGTATCTGTGTGTGTGAGTCTGTGTGTGTGTGAGTCTGTCTGTCTGTGTGTGTCTCTGTGTCTGTCTGTCTGTGTATCTGTGTGTGAGAGTCTGTGTGTGTGTCTGTGTCTGTCTGTGTATCTGTGTGTGAGAGTCATGTGTGTATGTGTGTCTGTGTCTGTCTGTCTGTGTATCTGTGTGTGTGTCTGTTTGTGTTTCCCAATGAGTTTGAAAAGAATTCCTTATGTTAGCACTGGGTGGTAGTGGGCGTTATTTACTGGAATCTGGGCAGTTTGTCAGTGGTCATATTCAAAATGTCAAATATCAATGGTCACTGACAAAATGACACCCTTTCTTCAGTTGCCACTACCTGCCAATAGTCAGTCATGGAAGCTGTGGACCTCATGAGCTTCTCCCTCGTCCATGATGAAATGTTGACCAGTCTGATGTTGTGCCTATAGCCATAGCTGCTGTGATGTTCATGAGCCCATAAGTACAGTGGCTGTATCATGTCTAGACACACAGACACAGATAGACAGACAGACAGACAGACACACACACACACACACACACATCTACAACACTCTTCCCACCTCCCCCTTATTGTGCTCTCTGAACCTTCAAAGCAGATAATAGATGTCCCAGTTAGGGCCAAACCCTCAAAAGCCACTGAACGGCAGCTTTGGACCAGTGAACGAGTCTCTGCGTTAACCACTGCTTACTGTGAAACTGAGCTTCTCTGACAACGGCTGAGAACAGCACAGCACTAACCTATAGACATAAACCTATAGACATACTCAGACAGTTGTGTGACTCCTGGCCATTTACCCAAACCACAGTAGTAGGTCCCCTCTTAGGGGGACCTTCCCAGTCCTGGGCACTTATCACGGTGCACAATATGAGACATGAGCTCTATCCTGCAAGCAGGCCTGTAGTCTGATGCGAAAGTGGTTAATCTCACCCATTACAGTCATGCCGCTATAGCACCAGCCTTGGATTTTCTATAGGAAAGACCAGTCTGTGAAATCTGTAGACAGAAGGTGGAGAGAAGGGTTGGAAAAAGCTGGCAGCTGTCATTCTTGCCAATTTGAGTAGTGGACAATAAGAGTGAGGAGCGGGGCAAAGGAAGTCTGGGTACGACCCACGAGGACAAGGAATATAGCCTGGTCTCTTCGTAGGGTGTGAGCCATCACTACCGCCATCATTAGGAAGAAGGTAGTTGTGAGAGCCTGCTCTGTGGATGGCGCCACGTGCTCAATGTCTTACCCACTATCTCACTTTTATTCTCAATGTCACCGGGTGAGATACGTCCTGCAGTTGTCTTATAGAGGTCCTAGACCCCAGCTGTATAGGGGAAGAAGGAAGGGACGATATCAGAGCAAGGCAGGCCATGAGGAAAACATTTGGGACTCTGCTGAGAACCTCCCACGTGTGTATGACTGCCCTTTCCTCTCCTGTTGCTGTGGGACTGATGTTAACTGGAAGAGGTGAACACGTGATTGCTTCCCCTAGAAGGGCACCCAGAGTAGACCAAAGAAAGTTCCATGGCGTCTAGCTTGGTGAGCAGATGACTTTGACGTGACCCCTTCCAGCAGCAAGGGCGACTCAAAAGGAGCTGCGTCAGCAAAAAACCCTTTCTAGCAGTGGGGGACAGCTCACAGAAGTTGCCGCATGCCTGGAGCTCCCGGTACAACCTGTGGGCTGCTCCACCGGAGTCTCCACTCTGGAACAGCTGCTGACGCTGTCATTGCCATAGGGACGAGACTTGTGAGTCCTGCAATTTTCTGGGTTTTCTGAACTTTGTAGGTATCTTTAGCTTCTTGAACCTGTGGAGCCTTCCTCCTCTCTCCAGGAGGGAATATTCAATTGGAAGGAACTAGCTACACAACAGTAGTTAGCATTCAAGGCAGAAGGGCCTCAGCCGTGGAACAGGAGCATCTCAGTGCTTAGAGGCGAAACCATTTAGTGGTGGCCACATCACTATTCCAAACCGAGGCTGGGCCTGGTACCCAAAGGAGAGAGCTAACACCGGGACTTGTCCTCTGACCTCCACGCTTGAGCCCCCACCCAACACACACACACACACACACACACACACACACACAGAGAGAGAGAGAGAGAGAGAGAGAGAGAGAGAGAGAGAGAGATTTTTAAAAATAGCGCCAGAAAGTCTCCTGTGTCACCTCCCCCCTTCATCAGGGTTTACAGGTATGTGTATGTGGCCACACCTGGCTTTCTATGTAGGTGCCGGGGATCCGAACTCAGGTCCTGATGCATGAACATCAAGTCTTCTTATTTATCTCTCCATCCCCAACCTCCTTTAAAGCAGGGCCTTTCTTTGTTCTGGAACTCACCAATTAGGCTAGTCACTAATTATCTAGTCAGCCAGCTCCAGGGGGCCTCCTGACCCTGTCTCCACAACAGAGAGATAACAACTGATGGTCACCACTCCTGGCCCAGGGAGGTGGTGACACACTTCTTTAATCCCAGAATTTAGGAGGCAGAGCTCTGTGAGTTCAACACCAGCCTGGTCTACAGAGCAAACTGCAGGACACCCAGGGTTGTTACACAGAGAAGCCCTGTCCTGGAAAACAAAAGCACAGATTGTGGGGCTTGCTCTCGGGTCCTCGTGTTTGCAAAGCAGGCACTTTGCCCACTGAGCTCTCTCTCCGGCTTGATCATGAACCTCTCGTGCTTTTGCATGGTTTGTGTGGTGCTATGGCTCCATGCCTGCTAGGCAGGAGGTTGGAGATTGGAGGCCGGCTTGAAGGAGTGTGTTCTCTCCTGCCATTTGGGTCTAGGTGACTGAATTCAGGTTATGAAGCCTGACAGCAAGCACCTTTACTCATCAAACCATCTTGCTGGCCCTCTGAGGTATTTTCAATCTGTTGCACAGACGGCCATAGGTGACACCGTGGTCCAGGATATCCGGTACTCTCCAGATACCCGAAAACTCCTGCTCCGGCTCAGCGATTCTTACGACAGGTAAATGCTGTGTTTAACCACTTACATGCCAGCACCCAGATTCCCAGCTCTGCTTCAGTTAGGCTGTGTTGTCTCCAGTGCATGGCTGACCTTTCTTTTCTTCTGAGTCAGGGTCTCCCTATATAGCTCTGGCTGTCCTGGAACTCACTCTGTAGACCAGACTGACCTTAAACTCATTGAGATCCACCTGCCTCTGCCACCAGAGTGCTGGGATTAGGGACATCTACCATCATGCCCGGTCCAACCACTTTCTTTTCCATAGGTAGATGTCAAAGGCAGGCTCTCCCTTCCCTCTGCGGAGCCATCTGGGCACAGTTCAGCCTCTTTCCCATTCTGCGAAGGGGGTGATCTGAAAATGCTTATTCTGAACCTGCTGTTTGTGCTCGAGGTCCTTTCTGGAGACCCTGAGGGTGAACACAGAACCTCTGCCTCGAATGGAAAAGACAGGGAAGGTGAAAGGACTCATTCTCACTCTCAGAGGAGAGCCTGAGGGGCAGACACCCCACTATGACTTCTACTCCCGGTACTTTGCACCATGGGTTGGTTTGCCTGAAGACCCCGTGACAGGTACTCTTTACTTACTATCAGAGGTGACTTAACCAGGGAAGGGGAGAGTACAAATAGCTACCCACTGTGAGCGCTTGGTGCTAAGATGTGACAGCATCCAGAACCACCTGAGAGGTGGGGCTCTGGGCACAACTCTGAGGGGTTACCTTGACTATGTTCATCCAACTGGGATCCTGGCTAGCGAATAGGGAAGGAAAGGGTTTATTTGGCTTACACTTCCACAGTGCAGTCCATCACTGGAGGTCAGGACAGGAACTCAAACAGGGCAGGAACCTGGAGTCAGGAGCTGATGCAGAAGACATGGAGGGGAGCTGCTTATGGGCTTGCTCCTCATGGCTTGCTCAGCCTGCTTTCTTATAGAACCCGGGATCACCAGCCCAGGTATGGCACCACCTACAATGGGCTGGGCCCTCCCTACTAATTGAGAAAATCCCTTACAGCCAGAGCTTGTGGAGGCTTTTTCTCCACTGAGGTTCTCTCTAGTGACTCTAGCTTGTGTCTCGTTGTCATAACCTGACCAGCACACTATGGCCGCATGCATGCACACAGCTGCTTCCCTGAGACTGACAAGCAGTGCGCTTTGTGTGTATTATTTTCTGGAAGGTGAAGGCCTTTGTATTAGCTAGGGTAGAGTGGCACCGAGGGCCCTGGGACTTGGGGAGCTTTCAGTGCCCAGTCCTGGATAAAGCAGACTGTTGAGGTTACCATACTTAGATATCCCATGATGCTCAGTAAGCTTGCCCGGTGGGTGAGAAGAGAGAACTTCCTTCTTTTTCTTTTTTCCTTCCTAAAGACTTTCGGCCAGTTATAAATAAGTTACGACTTTTTTACTCTCTTCTCCCCACCTCCTGTTATTCAAGACAGGTTTCATATAGCCCAGCCTGATCTCAGACTCCCTTTATAGCTTATAAATCCTCAAAATAGGCTCCAAGAATCCTGATGTAGGACTACAGGCCTTCACCACTATGCCTGGCATGAATGTATACACACACACACACACACACACATATATACACACACATATATGTGCCCAGCACACTGAACAACAGCAAACCCTGGTGAAAGGAATGCTCTTTTTGTCCACAAAGCCCTACAAGGCTGACCCTGTGTCTGACTTCCTTTTCTAGCGTATGTGCTCTAGAAAGAAGACACTATGTTCCCTGAAAATTATAGAAAGATGTATACGAAGGTCCTGAATTTCCTATCAAGAGCTGACAATGCTCCCTGGAGAGGTGACTGAGTTGTTAAGAGCAGATGCTGCTCTCACAGAGGACCCGAGTTCAATTCCCAGAGTTTATGTTAGGTGGCTCCCCACTGCCTCTAACTCCAGCTCCAGGGGAAAGAGCTGACAAGGAATGGTAGAGTCAAATGAAAGACCAAAGACAGGTATGGCAGTCCACACCTGTTATCCCAGCACTTGGGAAGCAGAGGCAGAAGACTCGGGAGTTCAAGAGCAGCCTCAACTTCATAGAGAATTCCAGCCAGCTCGAGCTCCATGGAAACAAGCAAGCAAATCCCTGGAGTCTAATCCTCCAGAAGCAGTAAGACATGGTAGACAAGTTGGGAAAGCTGATTCCTAAGCCCTGCCTTCCTATCCTTACTGCAGACTCTGCTGTGGCCCGGCCCCGCTGACTTTAGGATTAGATCCTCTAAGGTTTAGTCGACTGGCTAGGTGACTTATCACTTAACACAACCAGGGACACACACTTCCATCTTCTTTGCCTGTTCTCATAGCGCCTTACTTTTCAGGAGCTGCACACACTGTTCTGAGCAGTTACTGGTCCCAGCAGCTTGGGAAGAGAGAAATGCGAGGTAGGACGGTCACTTCCCTCTCCCCTCCTCGTTGGGTGCCTGGGTGTTAAACTCAGGGCTTTGCAAATACTCAACCGTAGAGTCCTAGTCCCTCCATTAACTATTTGGGACAGGGTCTTGCTATGTAGACCAGGCTGGCCTCCAGTTTACACAGACCCCCTAAGGGCTGGGATTGCAAAAATACTATGCCCAGCTCAAATTTCTCATTTGCCTCGTTTTAGGCCCCTATCTATTCTCATGTGCACTAGCTCCTTAAAAATGTAATAAGAGCTGAACTGGTCGGTAGTGGTGCACGCCTTTAATCCTAGAGGCAGAGACAGTCGGATATCTGAGTTTGAGACCAGCTTGGCCTATGGAGCTAGTTCCTGGACAACAGCCGGGGTTACACAGGGAAACCCTGTCTCATTAAATAAATAAATAAATAAATAAATAAATAAATAAATAAATAAATGGTAGCTCTTATGTTATCCCTCACGTGAAATATTCCTGAATCATCTTCCCTTCAGTGGCCCCTCTCCCCCCAGCCCTCTCCAGCCCTGCTTCCCCAAACACAGGTATTTCTAATACAGTAAGCACGCTTGATGAGTGTAATTAGCTTGCTATGTAACTTCTGAGATCGATGAGCCCTTTTCTCTCTCCTTGGTGAGTGTAATGTCTTCCTGAGCTCCTAGAAATCTGAGGTCATGCCTTTTGTGGGCCTGGCACATACGATTACTTTAATATGTTATGAGAAAACAAACTCCTTCTGTTTAATTCAGAGCTGAGGTGGGCTCACTAAAAGGCCCAGGAAGGGAAGGACTGGGTAGCATGCACATCAGTTGTGTGTGGACCTCTGGGTCTGCAGGAGGATGGGGTGGAGGTGGGAGGTACTATGGACACCTGAGGAATTTATTCTGGAAACTGGCTTGGGAGGAGTTCCGGGTTTGTAACAATAAATCCTTCCCTGTGTTAATCACAGGGGATGCTCTTAACTGGCCCCACTCTGTGTTCTCTTTAAGCCTTTCAGTGTTCCCGCCGAGGAGGAGAACTGGACATTTCCCTGCGACCTGATGGGCGAGTTGACCTGAAGGGTGGCGCTGCTGTTGTCTTAGAGGGCACGCTGACCGTCTAGAGACGCTTATGCACTTACGCTGGGCTGTGGCCGCCACTAAACATGGTGTTTTCTCTACACTACAAAACAAACCAAAAACTAAACCAACAACAAATGCCCAGAGCTTGCTTCAGCAAACCCACTGACCAGTACCCTCAACTGTGGAGAACAGAAAGGGAAACCATTTGATGGAGGCAGGATAGCATCTCCAGGCTCCTTAGCTGATGAAGGGCTCTGGCCTCTGCCTGTGTGCATTTTCAGGAATCCACAGCAGGCAGCGATGCTGCCACTTCTTTTGATCATGACTGCCAATCAAAGAGATCAAAACGCCTTTAATCCCAGCATTTGGGAGGCAGAAGCAGGACAGCCAGAGCCACACACAGAGAAACCCTGTCTCAGAAAAACCAAAACAAACAAACAAAAAAAACCAAAACAAACAAACAAACAAAAAGCAATCCATTGATAAGAAGTCAGATGAGGCCATTTAAATTTAGGCACGGATACCTGATAGAGTATCTCACAGACATTCAGAAGAGTTAATAGCTGCATAGAAAAGCAATGTTGGTAAAATCCCATCCCTGTGGGCCACATAAACATTTCCTCCCCATTCCCTATGTTTCCAAAGATAAACTGAGGTACAATGCTATCAGAGTTCCCCCAGGGCACCAATGAGCTATTGGTCTTACTTCCAGAGCATAAGTGAGGGGTTACTTACAGAGTGTGGGTGTGGCCTCCTGAAATGTGGCCCCTTGAAAGGCTTTATCCGTCAATGATGATGACTATCCTATAGTGGCAGAGATGGAATCCCTGGGGCCTCAGTCTTTGCTGGCCTGTATCTCCTAGCCCCTTGCTGGGGCCCTTTGCGAGTGCATTGTTTATCACAGGTGGGAAGAAGCTAGATCCTCAGGTGAGGGTCCTGTGACCTCCCCAGCCCTGCAGGGAGGAGAGGGAACAGTTCACTAGCCCAGCTGGGATGAACCTTTGCAAGTGGGCACAGCTGAACTCCTGAAGACTGCAGTTGCTTGTCTCAGTATCATCCTGAGCAACGTGCAGGAAAACATTTCACGATGTAATCGTGCTAGGAAAGGAAACACGGGGAGGCCGAGAACTGTTAGGGAGGTTGGCCTATGATTGGTGGGGTGTTTGGATTTGTGTGGGCTGTAAGGAGAGCAAATTGGAACAGTTCATTTTTGGGGGGGGGGGACAATGTAAAGGAATTTCAGTGTAGCTAAAAAACAAATCAAAACATAACAACAACAACAACAACAAAACCCAATGATTTGGGGGCTAGCAAGATGGCTGAGTGAATGAAGCGCTTGACATTAAGGTTGACAACCTGAATTTGACTTCTGGGACTCAGAAATAGACAGAGAACACACTCTGCACATTTTCCTCTGACTCACATGCACATAGATGCTGTAGCGTGCACACACCCACACATATACGTGCATATACAAAATAAACAAATAAATGTGATAAAAATAATTTTCTCCATTTTTTTTTGTCGGGCAAAACCCAGAAAATTAATAGAAGAAAGGATGTATTAGGTGGAGTTAGGGCTTGATGGGTAAACGACTTGCCAGGCAAGCCTTTTGGTCGAGTTTGGGTTCCTGTAATCCACGTAAAAGATGGATGCAGTGTAGAGCTGCTATACTCCCAATACATCTTAGTCAGAATGGGCGAATCCACCCTACCCTTATCCTTCCATCCCCACTATCCCCTCCACCTACCTAGAACCTCACAGACCAACTGTACACACGCACACAGCACAGTGGCAAACACTTAGAGAGACTCGGCCTCAAGCAAAGGTAGCAAGTGAGAACCAGTACTATGGGGATTTGCTACCATCCTGCCAGGCACCGCGGCACGGCACACACCTGTAAAGCTGGCACGAGTGAGGGGAAGGCAGGAGGATCAGAATTTCAAGGTCAGTGGCAGCTATCTCTCTAGCCAATGAATTTGAAGCCAGCCTGAGCTCTCTGAGATCCTGCTTCAAAAACCCAAAACTACAACAAACAAGTTAGACTCTATAGAAAGGACGTGGGAACCCCAGCACAATTGTAAGTCAGGTTCCCTGAGCAGGACTCCTCCTTGCTAGAAAAGCAAAATCACCAGCCCTCTTCTGGACCACCTGTGTCTGGAGTTCTGCAGTCTAGGGCCAGTACTTGGAGCTTTAACAATCAATCCCTCCAGGCGATGGGTTAGTGTGAGGCCCGCCCTGAATTTGGGCTTCCAGGTGTGGTGGCCATTTCCCTCTCTCGCTGGACAATCACCTAAGCGGCTCGATGGCATTTAAAAGTGACAGCTCAGATGCTCCCCGCCTGTACCCATGTACTTGCTGCTTAACAGTGCACTTTTTCACGGGTTGGCTTTGTGCTAGCGTCCGGCCCTGTCTGGCAGAGAAAAATTAGCTGTGCTCAGGTGGGAGCTGTTCCGTAATGTGCTAGTAACAAACAGATTAGTTAATCAGCCATGATTTATTCATGATGAATTAATTATGCCTGGGTGTGCACTTCTGATGGCTAAATGGGGCTTTCAAGGCGTTATTTTATTAAGTGTGCTGGTGCTAATTGCAGACACAGAAGGATCACTAATTAAACATACAAACTGTGTGCAGCACAAGTTGGGTTGCTGAGGCCACAAAAACAAACAAAACAACTCACCATTTTTTTTTTTAAAAAAAAGGCGAACCAAAACAAACTTTATTTTGTGCAACATTAAAGAGTTCTCTTGACTTTATTAATTAATCACAGTAATGCCTTTCAGCAGGAATTGGCTCCATACATCCATGTACAGTGCTCTCTGGTTAGTCCTTGTTAAAGGGAACGCATTGTTTGGTCACGTGATGCAGTCTGTCTATACTTCCTTCTGTTGGCGATGATTTCCCTGGTTTCCAATTTGGGGCTTTGCATGAAATTGGCATGAACAGGGGACTGGAGAGATGGCTCAGTGGTTAAGAGTGTGTCTGTACAAATCCTGAGAAATGGGGTTTGGATCCCAGCTCGTGTAACAGACTGGGGGTCCCACAAGTAGCTGCTAACTCCAGCTCTGAGGGATCCAGCATGCCCTTCTGGCCTCTGCCTGCACAGGGATGTGCAACCCCATGAGTATACAGACACATAACTAAATAAAAAAATCAATCTTGAAGAAGCTGTACGCTTGTCTTTGTCTTTTCTAGACTCCCACCCGCTTTACCGAGGCACTACCCCTTAGAATGGAATTTCCAAGCAATGGCTTTAACATGTGTGATAGAGACACTGTCAAGCAGCTCGCTAAGGTAGGTGAAAGGGCTGGATGTGTGGCTCAGTTGTTGGAAGACTGTCGCACGAATTCTAATTGGTGTTAATAATAAAAACCCAGAGTCCGATATCGGGGGTGAAAGCTGAGAGTTCAGAGAATCAGTGCAGCCAGCCACTAGAGAGATCTTTGACCTCTACCAAATCCTCAGACTGAAGTAGTGATCCTGTGTCTACCAATCCTCAGACTGCATCCTCAGACTGCGCTGAGTTCCTGTCTCCTTCCGCCTTGTATTCCTCTCTCCACCCATCCATATCACTCCTGTCTCCACCTCCCTAGTGCTGGGATTAAAGGCATGTGACTCCCAGGTGCTGGGACCACCTTTGTGTGAGCTCTGTTTCTCTTTTAGACAGATTCTATCTCTTGTAGGCCACGCGGGCCTTAAACTAACAGAGATCCCTCTGCCTCTGTCTGTCTCCCAAGTCCTGGGATTAAGGTGTGAGCCACCTCTCCCTGTCCTCTAGTGGTTTAGCTCTGCACTCTGATCTTCAGGGAAGCTTTATTGGTTAAAACACAAACAAATATCACCACAGAGGACCTGCTTAGCATGTATGAAACCCTATGTTACGTCCCCAGTACCACATTCAAAACTGATGTTGTGCACCCCTGTTATCCCAGCTCTCAGGTAGCTGAGGCAGGAGGATTGGGAGTGCAAGCTCATCTTTGGTCACATAGTGAGTTGGGGGTCAGAGTGGGGTGCGCAAGACTCTGTCTCCAAAAGTATTCATAATAGTAAAATAAAGAGGACTCAGGAAGGGGCTCAGGGGCACAGCACTGACGTAGCTGTGTAAGGCCTTGAGTTCAATCCCTAGTAGGGAAAAAATATGACCTTGGGCCTCTGCATGCACACGCAAGGCACAAGTATGCACAAGCATGTACACACACTATAGCATACGTACATGATCAGAGATGTATATAATGTGAAGAATTTCCTGGTTTTCTTGTAAACACTTTTTATTCATTCGTTTGTTTGTTTGTTTGTTTGTTTATTTATTTACTATCTTCCTTGAAGGAATGTGTACACGTATGGTGTAACAAGAGGGAAATTTTCACGACCAGATTCATTTTTCCCTCCTGAATATAAATAACCAGTTCCTCTGGCTCTCCATACTGGAAAGAACTGTTTGCCCACCCACTGAAGTGCCATCCTTGTCAGCGGCTGCCCCGCCCCCCAGTGAGTCTCTGCCTACTTGGCTCCACTAGCCCGATTCCTCTCTTTGCGCCAACACACTGTACAGTTACTGTAACTCTACAGCGTCTGTGCTGTGAGATGTCATGAAAATGCGTAAATTAGCTAGATAAACAACATTAAAACAGATAACAGTAAGGGCTGGTGCGACGGCCCAGCAGGGAAAGGCACTTCTACTGTGAGGTAGCTCAGGAGTGTTCAGTCCGCTGTGACGGCTCCTGGTAGAAGCTGGCTCGCACTTGAGTGTGAAAGCTCTTGAAAATCATGTTGGGAATTTGCTTTAGATCACGCGGAACTTAGAGATGGGGGTGGGGGAAACGTGAAGACCATAGCGGTATTTTGTCATTGGTTAGTCTTCCTTCGCATGTCTTTCTCACTCACCGTGTCAACATTTTTCCACTTTTAGTATAAGAGTCTTACATAACTCTCGCTAGCTTTATTTCCAGGTTTGTGACTTTGTTCAGGTTTATGGTTTATTTTTATTTTATTTGTTTATTTTGAGACAGGCTCTCACAAGGTAGCCCTGGCTGTCCTGGAACCCACTCTGTAGACCAGGCTGGCCTCGAACTCACAGAGGTCAACGTGGGTCTTGCCTCCCAAGTGCTGGGATTAAAGGCCTGTGCAAGACAGGTTTATGGTTTTTAAACATTACAATGGGCGTTATTTTAGCAAGGGATGTAGTTCCATTGGTACAGTGCTCAGCGTATGCAGGGCGTACAGTGCTGAGCACATGCAGGGTGCTCAGAAAAACCAGGCAAATAGCTCAAGCCTGTACCCCAGCTCTGGAGAGGCAGAAGCAGAAGGAACAGAGGCTCAAGATTATCTTTGAGTACGTGAGTCCGAGGCCAGTTTGAGATACACGAGACCTCATTTCAAAAATCAAAGTAAGTACCATCGTTACCAGACACATGGATCATCATCACAGAGGGTTGAGAAGACTCAGCCCACTGAGCCAGGAACCAAAAACATGTAAATGTCAACTTCCAAGGACTTTGTGGGTTCCTATCCATGCTATGCAGGGGAGATGGGCCACATGCTCTGTTTTGCAGCCTTGCATGGTTTGGAGGGCAACGGTGTTCCTTAGCTTTCAGTCCTCTGGAATGGTGCCTAGGACTCACTGTGTCCTGATGCTTCTTAACACTCTGGGGAGGCCAGAGTGGCTGTGACTAGTGATGCGTGGTCTGTGACTTTGGGTAGTAGCCAGTTGAGGTTATTGCAATACCGCTGGGTCAGGTTATTTTAAGGTACAATAGACAGTTTGTGAATTTCACCAGCCAACTGGAGGCTCTCCCCCGCTAAAGTCATGATTTCAGCATAAAAGACGGGCTAAGTTAAAAGCCAGCACCTGTTCTTCTAAAATTGCTTTTCTGCAGGTACCAGCCCCAGAGGGTCGGCAGATGGTTTTGTGTTTCGAAGCCTGACCTCAGCAGCCCTTCATCAATCTTGAGCTGGTTGACTCTCTCAGGCTTCCCAGGGTACCAGAGATATCTTTGATGTAGTTACTACCTGAAGACCAATTAATTAGCCCACACTGATTCTGTTCCATTTTCCTAACAAAGCTAGGAAGCCCTGGCTCAGCCTGCCTGGGGCAGCTTTATGCATGTTCATTAATTACTGTCACACAAGACATGGGCACTTCTAGAAGATGGAGGAGAAAGCATCTTTCTGTACCTTGGAGCTGGTGCCCTCCAAGGCCTGCAGCTAAAACCCCTGTGCCGAAGGCTATGCCATAGGGCTCCCCATATTTAAAAATGTCCATCCAAAGCATTGGACCTACCAGCCATGCTTCCCATCCCACCCCATCCCACCATGGCTGCCGGGTTCTTAGGAGGGAATAGCTACCTAGCACTCTTTAAACGGTTTTTCCTTTTAGATTTATTTTATATGCATGAGTGTGTACCACATGAGTGCCTGGGAGTTACAGGTGACTCTGAGCCATCGTGGGTAGTCGGAATTGAACCCAGGTTCTCTGCGGGCGAGAGCAACAAGTATTCAACCA